ACGGCAGGCCCGAAAGAGCCGCGGCCTCGGGTGGCGGCCGGGCCGGCCGGGGCCGCACTCACCGCTGCAGCACCAGGACGACGGGGAGCCGTTGGGGAACTTGGCGGAGTCCGGGGCGATGCAGACGCTGGAGCTGAGGTGCGGACACTCCATGGCCACGAGAGCGGCGGCAGTGAGGACCACAGCTGTGGGGGCCAACAGGCTCTAGCGGCTCCGTCTGGGGTCGCTCCTCGCCGGGCGCTCGGCAGACGGCGGCGGCGTCCCGAGCCCTTGCGTCAAAGAAAGCGAGGGCTTCCGGACGCCGCGTTTTCTCGCCGGCCGTCTCCCGGCGCCCCGCTCCGGAGAACGTGAAATTCCGGGATCCGGGTTCTGCCGCCGCCTTTAGACTGCAGGCTTCCGCCTTCCCAGGCTGGCCACGCCCCCTAGCGCAGGCCCCGCCCCCGGCCCCGCCCCCGGCCCTCGCGCTGGGTGGGGGACCCGCGGCGCTCGGAAGTGACTTTCCCGACTCCGCGGCCTCGGGCTGCTGCGGCTCGCCCTTATCCCGCGAGGCTGGGTGCCCCGGCCGGGCCAGCCGGTCTGATCTGCTGCGTTTACTACGATCCTGCGTTTCACACGGTGAAACCTATGTGAAGTTTTCACTCTTACAGCGGCTTGGTGTTAGAAAATCTGACTACACAGCAAAGTGCAAAGAAGAAAAAACAGGAAGAAGCCAGCTCGCAGGGATTCAGGGCCTGGCCTCTGCCCCTGCCTTAGAGTCCTCGCTGCTGCAGGTGCGACCGAGTGTCTTCCGAGTCTGACCACGTGGCCTTAGCCTCGAGGGCGCCCGGACACCTGGGCTCAAACCGCGTCACTGTGACTCACTTCTGCCCCGTCTCGAGCGCGCCCTCGGGCTTGTCACGCCTCACTCGCCGCTGGAAATAAGTGAAATGAACAACCCAGTTTGCTGAGCCGAGGTCCCCTTTCCCAGATGATAAAAGAGGCACCCACCACGGTCTCCCAGCCGGGTGCTTTGTTCTCAGTACCTCCTTTAAGCCTCGCAGTACCCTACCCATTGCTGTTTCCCGTTTTCCTGCAGGGGGGAACCAAGCCCCTGATTCACTAATCCGTGCTGGGAACCGACGGGGCCCCTTGACCTCTGCTCAGAAATCGTTGAGGGCCGGCGGGTCTCAAGGGGCTGCCCGGGTCCCAGTTACACCCGAGCGAGTCCAAGACCTCCCTGGGGCAGTCCTGGAGGACCTCAGGGGCTCTTACAAATCCTCCCTCAAAGTTGGGGCTCCTAGCAAAACCCAAGAAGGAGCCTCAGGGTCAGAGGGCCAGCAGGGGGAGGGGGAAGACTGGTGTGGCAAACCTGCGGGCAGGGCTTGGGAGGAAGCAAGGTCAGGAAATGATTAACCGGACAGGTGGTGTTTAGAGCAGGGCAGCTCCCTGCAGTGAGGTCCTGGGGTGGCCTTAGCAGTCGGTGTCACCCGCTCGTCGCTTCTCAGTCTTCCCTACCCCCACCCTGGCGGTCCTCTACGTGATGGTGTCCGACCACCGGCGGTATCTCCCGCACAAGTATTTCGGATTCCTTAGTTAAACCTCCTCTGTTGCTTCCCCAGTACTTGACTGCTGTTAAAACCTCAGACCTGGCAAGGCAGGGAGCAGCGGTGGGGATAACCGGTCCAGGAGGCCCGGCAAGCCTGCCTTAAATCTTAGCTCTGTCACCTGCTCGGGGGAGTCCTCACCAGCCCTTTTCTTCATCTGTAAAACTGGGAAAAGAATATTTATCTGGAAAAGAAGATGTAGGAACTCAGAATTACCATCATGTATCGTAGTAGGTTCCAGATAAATACACAGTTTTGTTTTTTGTTTTTTCTTACTGGGAAGAAGGATAGGGATAACAGCTGTCCCCTCAAGCTCCTTTTGTCAACCTATTTAATCTTGAAGGCCTGGCTCCACCAGCCTTCTGTTTACCCCTGGATACCCACTCCACCTTCAGTACCCACAGCCCCGCATTTAGCCACGAGCATGCTCTGACTCATGCTGCCTTTCATACTCGTATGTAATGTTATTTTTTTTCCCCTGTAGAAACTGTTTCCCAATCCCCTAAACCTCAGTTTAAACATCACTTCCTGCTGGAGGCCTTTCCTGACCCTGCTCCAACCCAGGTTACCTCCCAGAGTGTGATGCCCTCTGCTAACCCCACTCTGCCTTTATAAAACACTCTTCATGCATGTAATTATTTGTTTAAAGTCTGTCTTCCCCCTCGGAGGTCTGTAAGGGTAGCAAACAAGTCTGTCTGGTTTCCTGCTTTCTTTCCAACCTTAGGTGCCAAGCATGGAGGGGGTTCCATACCTAAGTGTTCCGTGGGTGAGTGGGTAAAGTGATGGGTTAGCAATGTCTAGGCAGACAAGGGGTTAGGAATGGCCCAGTGTATGCCAAATATTTACCTCCTCCAAGATCTCTACATTTCCTTTCAGTTCTGAGTCTATTTTTGAAAGGAACAGGATTGTAAAGGTACCTGGTAAGGTGTAAGGTGTGAACTGCTTTATTTTTTTATATTTTATTTTACTTTGAGGCAGGGTCTTGCTACGTAGCCCAGGCTGGCCTTGAACTCACTATGTAGCCCAGGCTGGTCTAGAACTTGTGGCAGTCCTCCTGCCTCAGCCTCCAGGATTACAGGCCTGTGCCACCACACCCGGCTTAATTTTTAAAATTAGTGCCTTCTCTCCTGAACCGGAATAAAGACCCCTTGCAGGAGGAGTCCAAATTTAATCATCCTTGATCGCCACAGTCCCCAGGAGGATAGCCTGTATCAGGCAGGGAAGAAGTTGGACAAAATCAGAGCCTTAGGGCTTTTGCTAGAGAACCTTAAAACAGCGAACTTTCCTGTCTTTGAAAGTTTTCATTGCAAAAAAAAAAAATTTCTTTTGAGACAAAAAATGAGTAAAATGTGTCAAAGTGGGGAAGACCCGGGCACAGTGGGATATCTGCCCTCCCAGTCCCTGGCTTCTGCAGCTGTGTTGAATACAACGCTCACTGTTTTGTGCTTGGCCGGCGTCCCTGGCAGTGAGGCGCGGCCTGGATCCCAGCTCCCTGCCTTGCAGCCGGAGCCCCGCCCCGCGGCCCGGGGGTTCCCCGCCCGGCCTGGGAGTCCGCGGGCGACCTGCCCGAGGCCGGGCCTATTCCCACGGCGCTCACGGCGCGCAGTTTTCGCGGGAGACGGGCACACTTTCAACCGCGCCATGTGGCTTCTCCTCTAAGGAACGTAAGTACGCGTTGGTGGGAGGAAGTGAAGAAAGAAAGAAGATCGAATCCTGGTCCGTAAACGTCGCAAGGCTGCGGCAGCCGCCCTGCAACCTGAGCGCTGTGACTTCAGGCCGAACCCGTGGCCCCCAAGCCAGAAGCACCAGGCCGATCGGGCCCTGGGGGGCACTAGCTGTGACTATTCCCGCTCAGGTAGGGCGCATTGCAAACGCCCGCACGGTTGGTGTAATTATTCACTGTAGCGATTTTGCTAGGAAAGCCTGCTTAGAAAACCTAAGTTAGATCCAGAGGAGGCTTGTAAGCACTCACAAGTGTCGGGTGCGGAGGGAGCAGGCGCTCAGGGACTCTTCGGTCTGTGGGTTTCATTTCCCTCGCAGCACTTATCTGATATTCCCTTGCTTGTTTACTTGTTTATCTCTTCTCCATCTCCTCTGAGATAAGAGACCTTGCCAGTCCTGTTAGTTGCTTCATTTCCAGTTCCTGGAATACAGGTAGGAGGCAGGCCCTCGGTAACTATTTGTTGAATGACTAAATAAAATAAGGGCAGCGAATGGGGGGGGGGGTGTAGCTCCGTGGTAGAGTACGCATGCGCAAAGGCCTGGGTTCAATTTTTATACACACACACACACTACAAAGGAGGGGAGCTTGGGCTCCGGCAACCGGTCGCCTCACTCTCCCACTCAGGGACACCACTCCGCTGCTTTGCACGACCCCCCTATCAGCTCCCTGCTCAAAATCCTTGCCTGACTCCCATCTCTGGTGGGATCAACTCCCAAACTCACTGTGGTCAGCAGTCCCCACCCCTCCCTTCTGCTTTTTAAAAAAATTGTTCCAGCTGGACCTAAAATAGTTACCGCGTTAGGCAGAGTGCTCTTCCCCATTCTCCTCCGTCCTCCCCAGCTGTCCCCTTTTATTCCCCAGCTCCTCTTTTCCCATCTCCCACCCAAGCAGACTTGAAACCTTGCCCCCGGGAGCGTCCCCCGTCCCACGTCCCTGCCGCGTGTGACACGGTGCTGTTATTTTCTGTCCCCATGTCTGTCTCCCTCGGAAGTGTAGTGTTTTTCAGCTGTGGATTTTCAGGACCAAGTTTCAGTACCAAGCGCAGATATTAAAAACTGATAAAACGTGTTGATTGTTGTTGGAAGTGTCCCTCTGGGGAGAGATTATATCAACAGATGTGTGTGACGATGCCCTAGATATTCAGAGAAAAGGGCTTCGACTCTTTAAGACAAAAGTTACGTTTACTGGGTCCCAACCAGGCACCTGATACAATGCCAAGTGGTTTTCATTTCTTCTTGGGGAGGTAAATATTACTATCTTTATTTTACCAATAAGAGAATGAAAGGTTGAAGAAAGTTAAATAAGTTGCACAAATCTCCACAATAGTAATTGTTCTTTTACCAAAGAAGCCAC